AGTTATCAGTGTTTCCGTTCTGTGGAGTTAGAAACTGATGAGAAAGGCGCAAGTGAAGTGACCCTTTACTTATCCCCTTCAGCGCTGGACGAGGGAGGAGCAGGGAGCTGTGGCACCTCATTCATCTAATTTAAATCCTAAGTAAACAAAACATTACTCCTCGTAAAGAGACCATGTAAACACTATTAATAGCTGGCAGGTGTTTTCTCTAAATATCCGAGTGGTCCAGAAGACCTACACATCGATAACAAGATAGAGAAAAAAGTACACAGCACGAAATAAACTTAATAAACAAGAGAAAACCTGAAAAAGAAGAGCAGTCATAACAAGGTTGACCGAGTTTGGTTGGTGGTGATGATGGTGGTGATTGTGTTTGTGGTGGTGGTGGTGTTTGTGGTGATTGTATTCGTGGCGATGATGGTGGTGGTGGAGATTGTGCGTGTGGTGATTGTGTTGGTGGTGATGATGATGATGATGATAATGGTGGAGGTGATGATGATGGTAGCGATGATGATGGTGGTGACGGTGGTGGTGGTGAGGATGGTTGTGTGGACCCCAGCAGCGTGAAGACGCACAACGGGAGGGGCAGATGGGTAAGTGATGAAGATGTCAGTGAATAGAAATAAGGAAAGATATAGGAGTTTGAATGAAGAAGACGAAACACAATGAAGGAACACGACTCCGATAAGAAAGAAGTTGTGGGAAGAAGACAGGGAGGGAAAGCGGTGTGTGTGTTTGTGTGTGGACCGCTGTGAATAAGGTATAACGAGCTGCGGCCTCCACGTGACCTAGGGGACCCACCTCCACCGTGTTATTAAATTACTGACCCATGGCTCCTCTACGGTGACCGAGGAGTTGTGATGACCACGACTGAAGAATTTTTTCTCTTCTCTTCTTCTTAGATTCCTAGAAGAAACGTTAATTTTCATTATGTCCTTAAAAGAATGTTTAGATAAATACTAATTATATTTTCTTTGATCATTTTACGTGACGTCATCCAAGATTTGGTGACAAAAATTCACCTTCTTCCTTCTCTCTTCCTTCCTTTTCTTTTTCTTCTTCTTTAGTCAAACAGATGAAGTCGATCTTACAGTTAACTCATAATCAGTGGTTTTTCTTGAAATAGTTCAGGATTGTTCCCAAGTCAACAGATATCCGAACCCACCCGGGGTATTAATATACTAGATTTAATTCTGTTAAACAAAGAAAAGCCCATTGGTAATATCGATGTAGGGAACGAACTAGCTAACAGCGATCACAAAGAAGTGAGATTTAAAGTAGAACTTAATGTCAGTCACAAGGAGAATTCCATCAAGTTCCAGATTTCAGAAGGTCAAATTCTGAGAAGTTGAAAAGGCACATGAGAGAAGGGGTATTATGTTTCGGGGTGAATTACATGACCTTAAGGGAGGTGGTAAATAACGCGACCTCACACAATATACCCACAGAGGGTGACCTCATTTTATCTGGTAACCTGATAATGATAACCTCACAAAATATGACTTATGAGGGTGACCTGACCACGAGATATGAGGCTGACGAATTCCATGACAATTTAACTAATGAGTTACTTAATGCACAAAGCCAGGATATACCATACCGAAAACTCAGATATTTTTTTTTCCTAAATAATTATATAAAGGATATTATTGGACAAAGGAAGGCTATAGGTAGGAGTTTAACTCTAAGATTATTTTAATTTCAAGCATTGGCCAGTATGTTAGGACCGAAACAAGAAAAACAAAGAGGGATCTAACATACTATAGCACTAGGCGTGTGTCTGTTTGTGTGTGCCTGTACTGGGCAGTCGAAACGGCACAATCGCTTTTCATCGAAACTATCAGGTGCTTATTTCCATGAGGATCCTTTGTTTAGGCTTACGCCTGGTCTATAATCAGTAATAGCATGTCTACAGGAGTATTAGTGAAAGTTTATTTGATATAATTCCACAAGCATTCCATTGATTTTGGACTATCCACGGCTGGGGGATCACTACCACAGTTCTACATTCTATGGTTTAATAATATAGAACTGTACTTCACATAATACGCACAAACGGGGCGAAATGCAGGTGTAGATACACGCAGGTAAACATAGGAACCAATATGCTTATCGATAATGTTTAACAAACACAATTACTGAATCTAACCAAGGATTCTATGCTGCAGGAGGTTGGCTCACTCAGTGTCGCCAGCGGCTGCTAAATTTAAAGCACTTTAAGCCTCTTGCGCCTTACATGACATCAGATTATTCAATAAAAATAGTTTATATATAGTCAGTAATTTATTGACAACCAACTTTAGATATCTAGGAATAATGTCTCAAAATGGATCGATCACTGACCCCTGGCCTGAGCCGCGAAAGAATAATTTCATTTCTTCCTTTTTTTTTTTATAGATTTGTGCGATGATCGATCACTGACCCCGGCCTAAGTCGTGAAAGAATAGTTTCGCTTTTATTTTAGATCGTGTGATGGATCGATCGACCACTGACCCCCGGCCTAAGTCGTGAAAGAATAGTTTCGCTTTTTATTTTAGATCGTGCGATGGATCGATCGACCACTGACCCCGGCCTAAGTCGAAAGAATAGTTTCGCTTTTTTAGATCGTGCGATGGATCGATCGAAAGAATAGTTTCGCTTTTTTTAGATCGTGCGATGGATCGATCGATCACTGACCCCGGCCTAAGTCGAAAGAATAGTTTCGCTTTTATTTTAGATCGTGCGATGGATCGATCGACCACTGACCCCGGCCTAAGTCGAAAGAATAGTTTCGCTTTTTTAGATCGTGTGCGATGGATCGATCGACCACTGACCCCGGCCTAAGTCGGAAAGAATAGTTTGCTTTTTTTAGATCGCGATGGATCGATCGACCACGACCCCGGCCTAAGCCGTTCGCTTTTTTTTAGATCGTGGGGATGGATCGATCGATCACTGACCCCGGCCTAAGCCGTGAAAAGTTCGCTTTTTTTTAGATCGTGGGGATGGATCGATCGATCACTGACCGGCCTGAGCCTCGAAAGAATAGTTTCGCAGATAGATTGACCCCGGCCTAAGCCGTGAAAGAAAAGTTTCGCTTTTTTTTAGATCGTGGGGATGGATCGATCGATCACTGACCCCGGCCTGAGCCTCGAAAGAATAGTTTCGCTTTTTAGATCGCGATGGATCGATCGACCACTGACCCCGGCCTAAGCGGTGAAAGAAAATTTCGCTTTTTTTAGATCGTGGGGATGGATCGATCGATCACTGACCCCGCCTGAGCCGTGAAAGAAAATTTCGCTTTTATTTTAGATCGTGTGCGATGGATCGATCGACCACTGACCCCGGCCTAAGTCGTGAAAGAATAGTTTCGCTTTTTTTAGATCGTGTGCGATGGATCGATCGACCACTGACCCCCGGCCTAAGCGGTGAAAGAAAAATTTCGCTTTTTTTTAGATCGTGGGGATGGATCGATCGACCACTGACCCCGGCCTGAGCCGTGAAAGAAAATTTTCGCTTTTTTTTTTAGATCGTGTGCGATGGATCGATCGACCACTGACCCCCAGCCTGAGCCGCAAAAGAATAGTTTCGTTTTTCTTTTCTTTTTTTGTTCGTGGGGGATCGACCGATCGATCACTCACCCCTGGCCTGAGCCGCGAAAGAATAGTTATCGACCACTGACCCCCGGCCTGAGCCGCGTAAGAATAGTTTCGTTTTTTTTTGTTTTTGTTTTTTTTTTAGATCGTGGGGGATGGATCGATCGATCACTGACCCCCGGCGCCTAAGCCGTGGCAGTAAAGTTTATTACTACACAAATCTTGCTTAGGACCTTGGTCAATGAGTCACAATTCAGACACTTCGTCTGGTTTGAACTCATAATTTGAAAAATACTGAAGTTGGAATTTTGTATAGTGTAGTGAGTGGCTGATAGTCAGGATAATAATGAAGATGGTTGTTAGGGTGATAGTGAAGAATTGTTAGTGTGACAGTGACGATAAATGGAGATGTTAGGATGAATAGTGAGGGTGATAGGGAAAATGGTTCTTAGGCTGATAGTGAAGATTTGTTAGGGTGATAGTGAGGGCTGTGAAGATGTTAGGCCGATAGCGAAGATTTGTTATGGTGATAGTGACGCTGTTAGGATGAATAGTGAGGATAATAGTGAAGATGTTAGGATGAATAGTACAGGTGAGAGTGAATATTGTTATTAGGTTGATAATAAAGATGTCTATTAAGATGATAGTGAAGATATGTGTTAGGATGATAGTGAAGATTTGTTCGGATGATAGTGAAGATGTGCTAGAATGATAGTGAGGGTGATAGTGAAGATATGTCTGAGGGTGATAGTATCGATGTGTAGTGAGGGTGAAAGTGAAGACGTTTATTAGGATGATAGTGAAGATGTGTGTTAGGATGATGGTGAAGATGTATGTTAGGATTATAGTGAGGATGTGTATTAGGATAGTGAAGATGTGTTAGGATGATAGTGAAGATGTGTGTTAGAATGATATTGACGGTGATAGTGATGATGTGTCTTAGGATGATAGTGATGTAATAAGCAGGACCACCCACACAGGCCGGCGCCCATACACACAGGCAGACACCCATACACTGTTTATGGCACTTGTCAGACCGGATGGACACTATTAGTTACAGCCTCAAAGAATAACATCTAATATACTATAGGACTAGGCGTGTGTCTGTTTGTGTGTGTGTGTCTGTTCTGGGCAGCCGAAACGGCACAATCGTTTTTCATCAAACTTGGTGGAAAAATCGCAAAAAAATCGTAGAGTGGAACAAACCTGGTTCCATGTCGATGGTTTCTTTAGGAAGGCATTAGTTAACAATTTTATTTACGATGGAAATCGATGCAAGTCTACGGACTTGGCGCACCCTAATTAACCATGCAAGTCTACGGACTTGGCACACCATCATTCGCTGTACGCTGTCAAGAGTGCTCAAACTCTCACAAGGGCACGAACGTGCCCGCGATCACCTGTAATAAACTATAGGTAGCAAGGGAGATGAAGTCAAATGCCAATGGAATCTTCCAACTGTGTTATCGCCACGCACAAATTGTGTGCGCCGGCCACATGTAAGTGAAGAAACTGTTTACAACTCAGAATAGCTTATTAAGCGAGATGGAGCTGGTAGCAGCTGTGTGACTGCCTGAGGGACAGTCTAACACCTTCCACCTTCTACTGTAGAGGCAACATCTTGGTTCTCGCCCACAACAGTTCCTGCAGGACATTATATCTGTTCTCGTTGGTCTAACCCTAGACCCCAAAACGTGAGTGTGGTTGTGAACTGTTTAATCCTCTGAGAACTCTAAATAACTTTAATAAGTGTAATTATGTACTGTATATTGATCGTATTATTCAAACTGTGTCCTGATGTACCAGCAGTTGTTATATGTGAATTGTATTCAACAGGTTTTGACCGAATTATACTCATCGCTTCAACGACAAGGGTCTTATTGTCCTGCACAAATCAAAATCGCTCCTATGAGCGATTACAAACTGTATCAAACTAAAACCCGAGACAAGATTGAACCAATACAGACAGATACCGCCGAACTAACTGATAACAGCGGAGAAATGAGCAATAATCTGAATAGATATTTTTCATCAGTTTACACAACCGAAAATTTAAACCTGATACCCGAGGCACCAACTATATACAGAGATAGTGAAGAAAATAGATTAAGCGAGATAATAGTAACTGGTAAAGGTGTTAGCAAACAAATAGATAAATGGATAAGTCGCCAGGTCTCGACGATATATTTGCCAGAGTATGAAAGGAATGTAAGGAAGAACATAGTTATGCCCTCAGTAAACTTGTTTAATACATTAACAACCGATGTACTACCAGAATCTCTAAGGATAATGAATGTGATTACTGATTTTCAAGAAAGGAGACAGATCACTATCCTCTACCTACCTTCCAATCACTTTAACATCAATTATTGTAGGCAAATTACTGGAAGCAATAATTTAAAACTCAATTCGAAATCATCTTGAGAAACACAAATTGATCAATGATTCCCAGCAAGTCTTCACAAGTGGGCGCTCATGTCTGATAAATCCATTATCATTCTTTTCAACTGTTTTCGAATCAGTTGATGACAGACACGACTAAGATTTGGTTTACCTCGACTTTAGGAAAGCCTTCGAAAGAGTCCCCCATGAAAGACGAATACGTAAAGTGGAGGCACGTGGAATTGTAGATTTTCTAAACTGGATTAGGGCAGGAAACAGAGAGTCAGTATTAATAGCACCAAATCCTATTGGAGTAACTTCACTAGTGGAGTACCCTAAGGCTCAGTACTTGGACCATTATTATTTATCATATACATAAACGGCATACGAGTATATATAGGCATGGACAATAACATAAGTAAATTTGCTGACGACACTAACATAGGGCGGGTAATTAAATCTGACGAAGATTCCGCAAAACTACAGGAAGATCTGAACATATTTTTCGCTTGGTCTGAAAAATGGCAGATGAAATTTAATATGGACACTTGTAAAGTACTTAGCCTAGAAGATGTAAACAGAGAAACCAGATACCAGATGAACAACATTGATATACAGAAATACGAATGTGAGAAGATTTAGTGGTAATGAAAAGTAGGAATCTTAAACCAAGACAACAATACGTATTTGCTCGAAACAAGGTTAACAAAGTACTTGGATTCAGACAAAGGAGTGTTAGTTACAGGACTAGCGAGGTTATCCTAAAACTATATATTGCGCTTGTGAGGCCGCATTTGGACTATGGAATTCAGTTTTGGTCACCGTACTCCAGAATGTATATCAAATCCCTAGAAAGCATTCAGAGGAGGATGGCAAGACTAATCCCAGGCACTCCCTCGAGAGATGTAGAGTGAGGAGCGATACGATCGAGGTGTATAAATGGGTCAGGGTTAAACAAAGGTGATATAACAAAGTATTTAAACTATTAAATCAGTCGCAAGATAGGTAAACACTGGTTTGGAAATGGAGTAGTGGATGAGTGGAACAAGTTAGCAAACATATCATTAAACTCGAACACGCTGGATAGGTTCAAATATAAGTTGGACGGGTATATGAGCGATCGGGCTTGGGTGTAAACGGGACTGCCCATTATGGGCCAATAAGCCCTCTGCAGTTTCTTCCTTTCTTATGTCCTCATAATAAATAAATATAATTACTAACTTTTAAGAATATAAGTTCAGTAAACAAAAAAGCATCGAGTCGTAAGAGAACCAGGAAGTAAAAGTAAATAACTAATACAAGAATGTGATAAGTAAAAGAGCATCGAGTCACAAGAGAATCGGTGAACTAAAAGCACATACCTGTATACTAGCTCTCGAGAAGATAATCATTAAACAAAAGAGCATCGAGTAAAAAAGAAGAATCAGGGAAGTAAAAGAAAATACTAAACCGACAATTATATGCATAAACTAAAGCGCATCGGGTCACAAAAGAATCAGGGAAGAGAAGTGTGGCCATTAAAACGCTTGGTATTTTTTATAAGGAAAACTGAGAAACTGAGGCCAGACAGAACAGACAGACTTTAAAGCTTTAACAATGAGCTGGAAAAGTGTGTAACCGTGTATAGAGTTGTTGAGGCAGCGGGAACATTCTACACTAGAATAATTAATACCCCCCCCCCCTCTAATCTATTATCACTCAATGGTCTTTTTGCCTTCCCTCTTTTATAAAAAAATAAAATAAATACATGTAAAACCAGCCAAACTCCTAACACCAGCAACTAGCTGAAGCGTGACCTCGACAGCAACCAACTGGAGTGTGACCTCGACAACAACCAACTGGAGTGTGACCTCGGCAACAACCAACTGGAGTGTGACCTCGGCAACAACCAACTGGAGTGTGACCTCGACAACAACCAACTGGAGTGTGACCTCGGCAACAACCAACTGGAGTGTGACCTCGGCAACAACCAACTGGAGTGTGACGTCGACAACAACCAACTGGAGTGTGACCTCGGCAACAACCAACTGGAGTGTGACCTCGGCAACAACCAACTGGAGTGTGACCTCGGCAACAACCAACTGGAGTGTGACGTCGACAACAACCAACTGGAGTGTGACCTCGACAACAATCAACTGGAGTGTGACGTCGACAACAACCAACTGGAGTGTGACCTCGACAACGATCAACTGGAGTGTGAGTGTGGCCTCGGCAGCAACCACCTGGAGTGTTTTGCTTCAGTATACGCGACATGCAACGACAGGAGACATGAATCACAATCATCTATTGTACTGAGTTGGAAGGTAATATTACATAAAGGAGATATTTACCACCCTGTGAGACGGGAGAGGATCCATAAGTAATTTTATTAAAGTATTGAAGAGACTTTAACTTGGGTTATATCTGGAGAAAATAAAATATAAAAAAAATACGGGAATTACACACAAGTGGTCTTACCTGGGGCAAAATATCTGCAACAAAAATAAGGACATAGTGACATTGTTTAGAAATAAGGAAGACGGAGTGTAGAGATGTTTAACTGATGTTATTTGGGTATGAAAAAGGTTTTTTGACAGAGAAGCTGATTATAGTTGTAGTAGTTATATAGAGACAACAGGTATAATATTTTAGAATTTATTTACTTTTATATAGTCAATTTTCTCGGCGGTCCTCAATGACGGCTGAAGGTGTCGGGGCAATGGGGCGTTCCACCACCATATCCCAGTCCAGCCTTCTGGGCGGTCCTCAGCTTCCCAGGGGCGGGGTAGTTTGAGGTGTTCGGGCATGGGCAGTTCCACAGCCCAGTCCAGCCTTCTGGGCGGTGCTCGAGCTGCTGCTCAATAGGTGGGCGAGGCACTTCAACAGGCTGGCGGAGTTGTGGGGTACCTGGGGTACCGGAACAGGTTTGCGGGTTTTCCTTGGGGCCACCTCTTTAGGCCACCCGTTCTCCTGAGGTACTTGGGCGGTGTTTACGACCTTTACTATAAGAATACAGCAATCACACCAACTTCACTATATTTTATAGGTCAAATATTCAAGTTGGTGACCTACTTGTTGTAGACTGTTGGTCATGCGTGTTACGAGTATCATTGCTATGACTTATTCGGAAAAACTCGACATTTTGTGCTTCGCCGGCTCCAGCTTCTTATGGCTGGAGTTGGTTGAGGCTGAACAAAACCGCTGTCGTTTTAACTACCTTACACCATAGCCGTTTTCTTTAACACTACTTAAGAAAATACACATCCATTATTGAACTCGTTACAATACAACATTTACATTATCCATACATGATTTCTGTAACGCTCTTGAAAGACTTTGTTTTGGTTGTCATCACAGGTGTGGACATAGGCGGGTTAATGGACCAATAGGGGTGAAGCAGCCTTACTACCTGTTTGTATTTCGCTAATTAGGTCTCAGGTATTTCCTTTTACGCCCTACTTTTTATGTTTCATATTTTCTCCTTGTCTTTCATCTCGTTTTTCCTTCTTTTTTTTCTTCTTAACTTGCCTGGGGTTTACTTTGTGTTTTTGAGAGGGCAGTGTTGTGGGCGGGCTGAGGCTTGGTGGGGATTCATTAGGATGAGAATAATAAAAGGTAGATTGTGGCGTGAAAGTGAATATGGTATGAGTTTAGTGTGTGTGTGTGTGTGTGTGTGTGTGTGTGTTTAAAACCCAGATATCTCCTGTAATATTGAAATAGTTAATGTTACAGGCAGCAGGAATCCCATGTCGACGAAAATTCACACTCCAGCTGGTTGTTGCCGAGGTCACACTCCAGCTGGTTGCTAGAGGCCCTCGGAGTCTCTTGTTTACTGATGTAGTGTGCAATCCAGTTTGCTTATAAGTTATTAACGCTGCTCTACTGTTTGTGTGATGCTTAGTGTCAGGTCGTAGTCTGTAGTAGTTAGTTACTGGAGCTTTGTGTCACGGAATGTACAGTCTCGTTCAAGATTCTTCGAACACTGCTGGAGACAGCTGGGAACTCAAGGCCGTTTGTTTACTATAGTACGTTGTATAATATAGTACGAAACAACAAAGCTCAACCATTAATTAAGCAACGGGGAACTAAGTAACCAATCACCGATCACTTTTACATTTATTCACACTTTTTACTACGTACTATAGCAAACAAACTGCCTTGAGTTGCCAGCTGTCTCCAGTAGTGTTCGAAGAATCTTGAACGATTCTGCCGGCTAGATAAGACTGATCTTCACTCAAACTTGTAGATTGTATTTTCTGTAGGATTACTGTAGTCTGGCAAAGTCCTTAGATTAACAGTAAGTTTCTGTTAAGCCTTTAAAAGTTCGTAACTGCGGAGAAAACTTAACATGTAATTTATTGTAGAACTAAAAATATTTGGGATACCAAGATACAGAAACTTCTTAATTAGCTAAAGATAATATTTCCTTGGACGTGTGTTGTGTGTTTCTGTTTGGTCAGTAATTTGTGCAGCAACTCCAGAATGAGACCGAGTTATTAAGAATTGCACCATATATAATTTTGCTATTATTTTATCTTTTGTTGTAAATAATACATATACTCTTACTTTGTTGTGTTTAAATGAGTAGTTTATCTTTAAACTAAATGTATTTCGTTAATAGGAAGTAAAAAGCGTTCAGAATATAAACGTGAATCTCCTGAAGATACGGGTGTTAGGACTTGGGTGGAGGTGGTCGTCGTAGGTGGGCTGGTCGCTCTACAAGTTGAGAGTCATTAGCCTGGCAGCAGAGAAGTAAGGGGATGTCCTTGGCGTAATGGAGGTCCCGGGCCAGGTGTCCCAACCCATTAGTTCCGAGCCAGATAGTCGTTCACCCCCTCCCGTCTCCCACCGCCGTCATCTGCCCGTGCTACACCCATTTCTCTCTACCTTTTACCAGTATAATTTATTATAGCCGTAGGGGGTGGTGGCCTAGACGGGCCTTCCGTCTGACGTATGAAGGTGTTTAATTAATGTTGCGATAATGATGATTGATGTTATCATAGAGGACGTTATTAATATTACCAACAGTAACGTTATTATTATTATTATTATTATTATTATTATTATTATTATTATTATTATTATTAGTTGTACCCGCTGTTGTATATGCCGAATATTTGCTCCTAAAATTAGGTTGATCCTCCTGCTGAGGCGGAACTAAATTGCCTGATTTATATGCAGCGTAAAGAGTGAAATATTCTCTTGCTCTTGTTCTCTCCCTGTATCAGTGAAATAAGAGGCGTGAGCGTGTGTAACTCTAGGAAAGGTGATATGATAATGATGACGACCTCAGACATACTGTATAATGCTCTTGAGTAAGTCTAGGGAGAGGTAACCCTTGTAGATGATGGATAGGGAAAGTCTCGGCTCAACCACCGCAGTTTATTGCATCAGAAATGTAAGCCTAGCATAGCGAGGGAGATAGGGAGGGCAGCACACCAGAGAGTACCGTTAGCTAAGTTACGTTCTGTACAGCAAGCAATAAAGGATTATATACTTATGTACACTCCAGGACTAAAGTGGTGGACAGCCGCACGGAACCTACACTAGTGACTTCTGGTAATGAGGAAATATTCTAACTACAATAGGGGTACTTAACAGCATATGATTTTTAAAACTATTTTATTTTATTTAAATTTTGTTTTTTAAAACTAATGAAACTTCTTATTTTATTTATATCATATCATAGTTTAACTTATGATTTTCCTCATTGCCAGAAGTCACTCGTGTAGGTTCCGTGTGGCTGTACCACTTGATAATATAAAAGAAAATCACACGATAATAGATACATAATTATATGCTAGTGTCAAGCTAATAATCTGTGCTATTTATATGTAGTGGTGATTGACAAGACAGTCTGTTTCTCACGTGGTATTTAACCCAAGTTACAGTTGTAAGTGAAAAGTGTTGAAGAAATTTTTATAAGGCTCATCGGATGTGATATATATGATGGTTATGAGAGTGGATTATGCTGGGGGAACTCCTGAGGGACACAACCTTGATGGAAAATATCGGGAAATTTTGACTGAGTGAAACTTGGCGTGAGTGTCGAGAAAATGGAGGATATTGGTAAATTCCTGCATGATGGAGCACCGAGGTGAAGTGTGTGTGGGGGGTATATCCTGTAGGGTTCGGTCCGTTTGTTTCTGTTCTTTGGGTCGAGGTCCATGTTGGGTGTGTCCTTGTCATAGTCGTCAGGGGACTTTTTTTTTTATGAATGTACAACTTGGAGGCGACTATCGGTCCACTCCACCGCCCGAGTCCAAAAAATGTTGACTGAAGATGAGGAAAGAGGCAGTAGATAGTCGGGAGTGTGATTGCATTCCTAACCTAATCTAACCGAGTTCTTACTTGATTTAAGGCCAACATTTTTTTTATCTTAATTCGTATTTTTTGGTGTTTTTTAGGGGGTTATTTAGGGAGTAATTTACAACATCGCCTTTCAGTTGCTTTCAGGGGGAGGTTTTTTTCCACTATGTCACAATACTGTAATATTTTTCTTAATCCATTTTCAGGTGGTTGTAGGGAGATTATAAAGAACATTTATACATGAATTTCACTATGTGATGCACTTAGAGACAATAAGATGTCCAATGAAAATGTTATTGTTATCACTCTAGGTTACTTTACACGCTGATAAGAATCGTTGTTTATAAGACGATGTACAGAGCGAAAACCATAATGCTTAATGAGAAGTGTTTGAGAAATAATGGGAATTCTTCACTGAGGCTGTTGAGGAGAATTCATGTATTTTCCTGTAAATACTATTGCTTGTTCAATATAAAATCTAATTCGATTCACTTGTTTAAATTATGGTGTTCCTAGCAGATATATATGTCATAACCCAGATATATATATATATATATATATATATATATATATATATATATATATATATATATATATATATTGTTACGAGTTGGGGATTTAAAATATAGTTAAAAGTCTACCCAGATCCCAACAGGCAACAACAACAAAAAAACAAAGACAATCGGACTATAAAAGGGTAGACAAAGGATGCGAGTTTTTGTTGTGTATAATAAAGTACCATAAATTCCTTAACAAAATATTCAGCTTTCTATAATTTACCCTTAACCATACTTAACCTAAACATTAACAGTATATGCATATTTATACAACATACAATAATTTGAAGCAAGGTGGAGGTGGGAGGTAACATAAGATTACAAATACTTAAGTGCGGAGCTGAGATGGCTGACGAGTAAGGCTGAGTATTGTAGAAGACGGTAGGTAGTCACTGTGCCGTAGGTTTCCAGGATAGGTGATCCTGTGGTCACTTCCCAGAGTGAACTGAACTCTCATCGAACTGGAGCTGATGAAGAAGACTTGAAGGAGGTGACGCAACAACCAGGATATGGAGAAGGGAAACCCCGGAGTGTTAACTAAGACAAGTCATACTCGTGTTTCGTCCCTAGATGGCGTTGCTCGTGGTGCTGGGTAGGTAGATCAGGACAATAGATGGCGTGGTTCGTGGTGCTGGGTAGGTAGATCATGACAATTGATGGTGTGCTTCGTAACAATATATATATATATATACTATGTACCAGATAGTTGTTGTACACCCACTAAAAATTATTGGGCACCC